TGCTTAATTTTGTATTGTATAATCATTCTCATGTTAGATTTTTGTATTATTGTTTTACACATTCGAAATAAATCAAATCAAATAAAAATATTACAAATAGATGTATTGGTTCAAATGAATTACACCTTGAATTTTCTGTTATGGCCTAATTCTGTGCAAACAGTTTTAGGGCTTATTTTAGGTTTAGACGTGTGATGGACTGCCGCTATACGCCTCCAGCTCCAGTGGAAAATAAACATTTAGTTTCCACCCCACCCTTCTTCCTCTTGTGCAGTTTCAGCACCTGCAGGCCATGCTGTCTCAGGTTGATCCCCAAATGGCAGACGTGGTGAGGAAACAGTTTCCTGTCTGAGGCCGATCAGTGTTCAGCACTCGTCCAGACTCATCGCTGCTTTTTATAGATGCCTCTATTTCCAACAAAAGGTCCTGCTTCAGGTCGTGCTATTTGGATTTCCACTGGAAAGACTAAACGAGGAAGTCCCACAGGGTCAGAGACATCATGAGTGGACAGTGTTTCAGAAATGGTGTCGTCTTTCTTTTGTGCAAAATTCAATTGTGTTTCTGTTGAAAGTGTTGTACTGTTCTTTGAATGCTATTTTTGTATGAAATAATTGACAGTCTTTTAATAAAAGATCTTTCTTTTTGCATAGACTTTTTTACTGAATTATTATCATGATCTTGGCAATCGGAGAGTCCCTTACCGACAAAAGGCAATACAAAAAATAATAAAGTTAAATAAATTACAATTAGAAACCCGTACAGTGGTGAGAGATTTAGTCCGCAATAAAATGAATAAAAAACTTGCATCGACCCAGTCTTTCCAATCGAGAGATAAATCTGTTTTCTAAATAAAATAATATACAAATATTATAAATAAATACAAATAAATCTGGAGGATGTAATCATACAGACTGAAAATACTCATTTTGATTCAGATTCAAAAGGTTTAATGTCATACACAACGAGTTAATGAAAAACTTGGGTTACAGGTTCCTAAAAAATGCAATATAAATATATAGAAGACATAAGACACATTTAAAAAAAAAAAATGGTTAACTCAAAACTGAAATCGTTTCATTCCCATAAGCAATGTACTCTAACTGGTCTGTAACAATATCTACAAATAATACAAATTAACATCTAAACAATTACATGTTATCCCTTTGTTCTGGTACTCCACAGAACACCGGTTCAGTAAACAGTTTGTATATTTTACATTAAATTACATACATGATATATTTATCTTAATGATAGCATTGTTTTGGCTGTATATTTTTCTGTTCTCATTAGTGTCTGTCAGACATAGACCATATCAGTCTTTACTGCAGCTTTTTATATGACATCTTTAACCAAAAATAGGCCGATCATTAAACACATCAATCAAGTTATTATTTCTTCATGCTTTGTTTAACGAGGAACATATATATTTCTATACAAGATAAAAGTGCATTGACCTTGTATTGAGTCACTTTTCCAAGCATATGAGTAATGGTACTAATGCTGATGAGACATCAAGTGTTTACCAGAGGGTGACAGTCACTCGGTAACGACAATAAAATGAGATGAAAGGCTCGAGCCTGGCAACAACGAGCTCATTTGGTTTCCAAATGCACCATTTCGCCCACTCATGGAGAAGAGCAGGGCAACCTGCGCATTTCCAGCAAGCTTAAGAAGGCTCTGTGAATATAGCAGCTTTTTAATTAAAGCTTGGATTGATATGTAGAACACTCTTTATAATGGAAATCCCGAGATGGTCATAGGGCTTGAGAGAGATCCCCCTATGGGAAAAAAACTGTCTTATTTAATCCTGCTTTCTCCAGACACGATCTGAACCTTGACTAGACGTGTGATGCACATAGGTGGCTGGTGCCCTGATCTGCGAGTCATGTCCTGTTTGTTCTGTAAATGGCTAGAGCGATGTAGATGTAATCATGTTTGGCCTTTCAAAGTTGCTCGGGGCCAGTGACTTAAACTTTGTCGGGTGGCTCCATCTTCAGGCCGGGCTCCCGGGCGTGTCATGTCACAGAGATCAGGATGAAGACCGGATGTTTCCTGCTTCCCTGCCAAACTTCATTGTCAGTCTGCCATTCTTCACAGTAACTTGATATGACCTGACTCCATGCAGAAACGCAGTGCTTTATTCACATCAAAGGCACTGAGGCGTATCAGGGCTGTCTGACGCTGATGCTGGATGTCAGTTACTTATTTTTCAGTTTGCCCACACAACTCGCTGTTCGCTGACATTTTGCCTTACAGTGAAATGTGTTCTATTTTTGTCTCAGAATTTTGTAAGAAAATTCGCATCCGGTACAAGCTCTTATGTAAACTGGAAAGAATATTTCACAAATGATTGCATGATGTAGCCATGAAGCTCATACATATTTTGTGTTTGAACATTTTAATAAGGTTCAAAAAGTAATTTTATAGGTAATACACTTCTGTTTTAACAGGCTAACCTGGGATCAAGTCTCATCAGGGAAAACAGTCATTCAACATAACAAGAATGTTTTCTTACATTTTGTTGGGCTTCTCAAGCATTCTTCAGTCATACCCTGAAATTTGGACTGATGTTTCCAATGTGTTATTTTGTGAAGGCTTGATAATCCATGTTAACACCTCTTGAGTGTGTAAAATGGCCCTGGCGCTGGTTTAATACCTGTTGCTGGGAGAGGAGGAGGGATAATGAAGGGATGAAGAATGCATGCGCAACGCCACGTCCTCTCTCCTTTGATTCCAAGGCCCGGCCTATTCACAACCACCTGGCCAAGGCGTGTTAATAAAGACACATGATGCTGTTGGGTGCAATCAAAGCCCCCTTCTCCTCATTTCCTGAGTTCCCCTGGCTTTCTATCTCTTGTCAACAGAATCACAATGAAACTTTCCTCTTCCTGAACACAGAATATCACAGACACTGACGTTTTCTGCTCGTGAAAAAGTGAGGCGGTGACGTTTGTGTTTGCATTGCTTTAACTTCCGGTTCTGCTTCTTCAACCACCGTATCTGTTAGGTTGCTGTTACAATAAACTATACAGCAAGGACGCGATGTAGAGTACAACCTTTGTCAATAGCAGGACATTTCCCCCCCTTCGTCACCAACACTCTTTTATGCCAAGTTATTTTCATAACTGTATTAATCTCATGTTTGCCTATACATAAAAACTGAAAGATATGTTGTGTATACAATTAAATTACTAATTAAAATTAATGAAATAATTGTATCACTATTCTTAAGTGTGGATGTATGTGTTATGTTTTCATTATTGAAGACATTAATAAACTTGGAGATAGTAAGAGTTTGTGAGCACAACTCTGTGGTAACAGGATTGAAATGTAATATAACAATAAATCCATGTACATGTTTTTAAAAGAAGTATGCTCCATAAAACTGACTTTCTTTTTTAAAATGATTTGCAAATTGCTTTAATTGAAGAAATTATAAAGTGTTAGGAGATTAAATGTAAAATGTAACATAACTCTCGAATTATCATCCGACCAATGTGTATCTAAAACGCAAGGGAAAGCCTTTCAGATGAAATGTAGAAAACTTTCAATGACCCCTTTTTTTCTTCAACACTGGCTTTTTTTTTTTGCATATCATGTTTCTATTTTGAATGTGGCTAGTGTTTACGGGCACAGCTCTATCCTGTCCTGTCCTTGTGTACCGCTGACGCCTGTCACCAAGCGGCATATGCTGTTGTTTGTTCTGCAATGAAAGAAATGGAGCTAATTAAAGAGATGTAGTGCTGCCACAGGAAGTGTACGTAAGCAGACCATTCACTGCTCTGATTAGTTAGTTGTTCAAACAAGGCTCAGGATAAGCTGAAAGACCGCAACTCTATTGATGAAGTGCTATTGAACATAAATAAATCTTTTTTTTTTCACATACATGTGTTTGTCAAATTATTTAAACCAAAAAAATGTTATCAGAATTGACTATTTAGTAAATATTTGAATTTCAAGCACCAGTACTTACTGCCCCATAATAATAATAATCTAATAAATTAAGCAAATATCAAAGCAAACTATAAACATAAATACAAAAGTGTAAAACACAGAACTATATTCATAAATGCAAGTGTAAAAAATTGTTAACATGGATGGAGGCTAAAGTATCCACAGCATAAAATAATATGATTATGATGGTTTTTCTGAAAGACAAAGCCTCAAGGTTCAAGGTTTTTTATTTTGTCATACGAACATAGCTACAGTGTAGTTATGACAATGAAAATCTTAGGTCACAGGCTCCTCCAACAGTGCAACACAATAACCCAGATAAACAGAAATATAGTGCAAGTAAATATTAAGCGCTGTGCACCGCTCTCTTTGTATAGGTGTTTTCTTTTGTTCTCTTCGAAATATACAAGCAATGTGTTTGAGTCTAGCACAACGAGGGTATTACAATTGAGTAATTGTTACATGTATTAATCATGTATTCTTAATACCATTACAAAATATGTAATATTAGGACCTCAAGCTAGCAAACTCAATTTCAAACAGTATGCAGAGTTGTCCTGCTAAAGACTTAAAATGTATTATTTAACCAAGTATTTATTCTCTTATTTGCTTTAATTGCAACAGATGATAAAGGTTTCACTGTGATAAGTATTCTCTTAAATCCATAAACCCCTGTACAGTGCTTTGTGGACGATGATGGTGTTTATGATATTTCTGACTGCAGAGGGACGCCTAGATGATGCCATCTTTCTGTGTGATCACTGTTGGGTGCAATTATTTATCAACAAGCAATAAGATAAGTCAAAGAAGTACTTTATTTAACACAATTTGGGAAGTGTTTTCTTGCAGCAGCATAAAAAAGGCATGGCATTGTACAATACAAATAAAGAAAAATGTTTGTTTTGCAGCAGCATAAAAAGACATGGCATTGACTGTAAAAATAAACATTTTAAAGATAAAAAATAAACATTTTAAAGATAAAAAATAAACAAGAAAGTACAAATGTAAATAAACAATATAATCTCAGCCAGAGGTTATTTGTTCGATCACAGAGGCGGAGGAGACGGGGCACGTCGGCTGCCCGTTCCCCCTAGCATCTGGCCAAGAGTGCGCAGGAAGGATAAATTAAAGGTCTCTGCGTGAGCAATCTCCTCCCTTCTCAAGGCTGCTTCCAACAGCCTCGCCTCCACCAAGGTCTGGTTCATGTGCTGAGCCTGCAGGGCCCGGTCTTCCTTCTGCTGGGCCAGGTTCTGTGTCTGCTGGGCCAGGTTCTGCTCCTGGTGTTCCTTCTGCTGGGCCAGTTGCCGTTCCTGCAGGGCCAGATCCTCTCCTCCTCGGTTCCTCTTGCCTGGGTGACAAGATAATTATAGCAATAATAATTAGCAATAAGAATGAAAAAACACAGGACAGGTACAGGTCACAAAAGGATATAAGAATAAAATGTATAAACAGAACAACAGTAAGGATGAATTAAAGAAAGTTCCGGCCCTAGATACTAGCTGCTTACTAGCTAGTTACTTTACTTGTAACAGAGCATTCCCACACAGTGGTACAGCTTATTTTACTTACTGACGATGGATGGTCTAAAGTTTTTTTTTTTAAAGTCACAATTCCAGCCTATTTCTTACCTAGAACCACACGCAGCGGTGTCGAGCTGGCACTCGGCGTTGGTGTCTGTGCTCGTGTTGGTGTCTGTGGTCGAGCTTGTGCTGTTGATGTGGAGGATGTCGATGCAGAGGACGTTGTTCGGAACTGTTCCTCCTCGCTAGTCCCAATGTAATCATCTAGAACAGAAACATGACTTGTAAATTCCACAAACTACTGCAGCACAATACTATAAATAGCAACAACAACTATAGAAAAGACAAACTGAACGTAAACAATGGCATATATGGTGTTAGCAAACAATAGCTCTAGCTAATGCTATCTGCCTTAGCTAGCTAGCTAGCCTTCGGGGCTCCATAAAAGCATGGGTTGTCGAACATAAATGTAAGGATAAAATAGACTTATTTGTTAGAAGTGAGCTTTAGAACAGATAGGGACACAAAGCTTTCAAGCAAATAACAGAGCGTTAGCAAAAACTTACCGTTGCAGAGTCCAGTGCTCCCGCTGGACCTTATCATCTGCAATATAATGGGGGAACGTCGTCACTTCCTCGACCGACCATGGCGTGCTTTTCTTTGCCATTGTTGTAGCTCCTCTGTTAACAAAAATGCTGCAAGCTTCGCTATATATATATATATGCGACGCTAGGGATTATGTCGCGCGCCGATTGTGACGATTCTCTCCGACCAATCAGCAGTCGAGAGTGTTGACGTCACACACTCGGCCCGGTTGTCCCTGGCCCTAGAACCACGATTTTATGAGGCCAGAAAAACTGTGAATTAGGACCCGCTAGCCGGTACTAGGCCAAGTGGAAACGCAACCAAAAACGGGCCGCTGACGTCACAGCCCTCTTAAACCGTGCTCCGCGCTGTAGTGGAAACGCGCCAAAAGATGAGGACTTTTTCCTCGGGCAGCATGTTCCTGATGAAGTCGAACAAGTAGGACTTTTTGTCTTCCTCATGGACGATCAGCACCGTTTGGTCCACTGTGTTAACCGCCGCCAAGTCCAGGGTTCCCACATAAACCATCATGGGGTTCTTTAGATAGGACTTTGCCAATCGTCTCACGATGTGGGCCAGGTGGCACTGGTCATGACAGTCTGTCGGTCGGGGCGGATGTCGAGCAGAATCTTCATAATCTGGGGTTCAAAGCCCATATCCAGCATCCGGTTGGCCTCGTCCAGCACAGATAAAAGCCGACAGCAGACCAAGTAGGTGATGGAGCGCAGATTGATGAGCTTGTTCATCTGGAGGTCGTTCAGTCGGCCTGGTGTCGCTATCACGATGTCCACGCCGCTCCTCACCGCGTTGATCTGAGCTCGCCTGTCCCCTCCGCCATAGATACAGACACTTTTGTAGCCTTTAAAGCTGTACTTGCTGCACTCCCGTTCAATCTGCAGTGCCAGCTCTCTGGTGGGAGTCAGCACCAACATGCCCGGACCCCCCCGCTTAGCTCTGGGCACAACTTGTCCGTCCATGTGGATGAAGCCTGGCAGCAGGTAGGCCAGAGTTCTGCCCGTTCCTGTCTGAGCGATGGCGATCACGTCGTCTCCGCTCAGAGACACTGGCCACGCCTGAGACTGGATAGGTGTTGGTTTTTCAAAGCCAACTCGATCAATATTTTCCATGATCTCTGGGAAAAGCTTGAAGGCCTCCAGAAAGGTGCGACAGGGATTTGGGAAGGGACGCTTCTCCCCATCCTCCAGAAGGTCATCCACAAAGATATTGTTATTCTCTTTCCTCCATTCAATGACTTCCTCCGCTGAGAGTATGGAAACACTCTCTGCCACCGTGTAAAAGTTCTTCTTCAGTGTTGGGAGGTCCATGACATAACGCATGTTTATAACTATGACATCCCACCACTGCCACCAATTGTTACAAAGTGAGGTGCAGGTGAAAGAACGATACGTGGAGAGAGGGTTTTCTTGCAAAAAATAGACAGGCTTTTTATTCTTAGCCTTCCACATTATTCCACAGAAACAAAAACTGCATGCCTGGTGCTGCGTTCACCAGCAAGGAACAAACACCAAATCCCCTTTCCCCTCTCTTCCCAACCACATTTATAGGAGACTGCCCGCCTTCCCAATCCAACCTGGCCAATCAGGTCATGGTTCTGAAAGCGGAGTGAAGGGTTAAATACAAGATTAAACACTGTGGTCTACATTTAATACAATCCTAAAGGCTTAAGTAAATTCATAATTGCATCAACATAAACATTGTACCTTCAAAAACAACAAGTTATGCTTAAAACGGATAGTTTTTAACCTAATTGACACTCATAAAATCACACATTTCCTGACCAATCACGTCCAAGACTCCGCCTACTCATACGGCACATATAAGGAGTACTTTGGAGGCGTGCTCCCCCTTTGAGCAGTGACACAAAATGGCTTCCAGGTCTGAACAAAGGAAATGGTGATTACTTTGTGATTGTGTGTTTTACAGACTGACAAATTAATTTAGATGCACTTTACTAGTTTTTCTATGTAAACTGTTTTTATAACTTTAACTGAAATAAAGACAACTCTGAAGAAACGTGTACTACCTTTCTTAACAAACAAATTGTTAAGCCAAAATGTTAGTGAGGGAGTGTGTGCGCTTCCTCACACCATAACATGTTGAGAATGTCTTGTGTACGTCTCACAGGTCATCCAGTGAAGCAGGCAGACACGGTGATGCTGGGATACCCTCTTGGTTTGGAAATGTCCCCAGAGATCAGGAGAAATGACCTGGAGGCCTTGAAGTCTCTGGAAATTCAAATAACACCAGTGTGCAGCGGAAAGAAAGACCGAACATGCACTCAATTAGAACCACCAAATTGTTTAATTAAACAAATTATTTAAAAAATGTTTTTGTCATTAGATTTGTTTTAACAGAGAGATGCTGTCAAACTACTACAATACATTCATTTGCAAATACGTGTTAGTGTGTGAAATGTAATATCTGATGTTGAAAATGTATAACTGCCCTATTTTTATATATGAAAGGAATATACTTAGGTATTTTCATAGTGTTGTATTGTTTGGTTTTGGCTAACTTAGGATTTACATGTAAACTAGGAACTGATTATTATTTTATTTAGTGATTATTACAGTGATTACTTTATTCAATACACGTTCAGTTGTTTGGTCATAAAATGACAGTTAAGTGTAGAAATGTGTGTGTCTACAATCTAAAGATATAAATATCATAGAGAAGTACAAAAAAAACAACAGGGAATGTTCACATTAAATTGTTTCTTTAAAGATTACACACCAAACATGCAATTCTTTGAGTAGTTGACTTATTGAATAATCGAGTAATCTTTGTAAACAATTTCTATTTTTAAATTAGAAAGAAAACACGTTTTTTTCTGTTTTTCTTATGTGTAAATATATCTAAAAGCTTCACTGTTGTAAGACTTATTTTTCAATGTGTATCTGCAATTACAGTAGAAAGTGTGAATGTCATTACTTGAGTCTGGATTTCTTAAATGCCAGTGACATGTAGTGAAGTCTTAATACGTTGTAATGCTCATGGTGGGCAGTTTATTAGGCAAGGCAAGGCATGTTTATTTATATAGCACCTTTCAACACAAGGCAATTCAAAGTGCTTTACAAAAATGAAAGACATTAAGAAAATGGCATTTAAAAACAGTCATTAAAAAGCAAAGATAATAAAATAAACATTAAAAGAAATAATACATGAATAAAAGTTACAGTGCAGTTTAAGATATGAATATATCAATTAAAAGCAGCGACAAAAAGAAAAGTCTTCAGCCTGGATTTAAAAGTAGTAAGAGTTATAGTGGACCTGCAGGTTTCTGGGAGTTTGTTCCAGATATTTGGAGCATAATCACTGAACGCTGCTTCTCCATGTTTAGTTCTGACTCTGGGGACAGAAAGCTGACCAGTCCCTGATGACCTGAGAGTTCTGGATGGTTCATAATTTAGCAGGAGGTCAGAAATGTATTTTGGGCCTAAACCATTCAAAGCTTTATAAACCAGCAGCAGTATTTTGAAATCTATTATTTGACACACAGGAAGCCAGTGTAAAGACTTCAGAACAGGAGTGATGTGATCCACTTTCTTAGTGTCAGTGAGGACTCGAGCAGCAGCGTTCTGAATCAGCTGCAGCTTTCTAATTGATTTGTTAGTGAGACCTGTGAAGACACCATTACAGTAGTCGAGTCTGCTGAAGATAAAAGCATGGACACGTTTTTCCAAATCCTGCTGTGACATTAGTCTTTTAATCCTAGATATATTCTTTAGGGGATAGTAGGCTGATTTAGTAACTGTTTTAATGTGACTGTTGAAACTCAGGTCAGAGTCCATGACTAGATATTTAGGAACAGAGCTCGAGAGGAGCATTTGAGCTGAAGGGCCACATATTCAAAAGAAGCAAAGTTCCCATAAGATGTCTTCCTGCATTGAAGGGAATCATTGAACAAAATAGCAACTCCACCTCCTTTCTTATGCATTCTTTCCTGACTCATAAAACTAAAGTTGGGAGGGGTTGATTCGATAAGAACAGCTGCACTGTTATTTTCTTCAATCCAAGTTTCCGTTAAAAACATAAAATCGAGATTGTGCTCAGTGATAAAATCATTGATTAAAATGTATATTTTTCCTGCCAAAGACCTGACATTTAATAAAGCTAGTTTAAGTTCGTTAAATACACTATCAGTCAGATTTGTTGTGACAAGCTGTGGCTGACATGGAATCACTGCTAAATTTGATAAACTCACAAACGTTTGAGCGCTTCCTGTTTCTAAGATGATTCACCGCTCTTAATCTATTACCTATCAACACAGATATCGGCAAAGCTACTGGCAGGCAGGGCCCCGGCTTGTCCTGGAAAGAGTTGAGAGTGCCATACGCCCTTGAGCCTGGACCCAGCACATATCAGTTAGAGTTTGCTGCGTTTTGTACATACACATCCTTATCAGGCTTCGGATACAGCAGATGCTGTCTTGAAGGGGGGGGGGGGGGGTGGTTGACGTAGGCATGGTGATGAAGACGGGGGAGATGGTGCGCGTCTCTGCTTCGGTTATTGTGGTGGGCGTCGTTGAGGGGCGGGGGTAAAGGACATGCTGCCAACCCTGTGTATCGCCTTCATGCGGTCATTGAACTCCAGGAAGTACCAGGGGTGAGATTAGCCGGAGAGATCTCTTGCAGCTTGATGCTCAGACTCTGAGAGTAAATCCCTGTGATTGAAGTGAACAGGACTGGGACAGACTGGCCGACACGCTGAAGCCCTCACGATCGCACGCAGCATCTTCAAAAACACACAGAAAGAGATCAGAAATAAGGGTGTTTGCAATGTTTTAGAACATTTTGTTTATATTTTAGAATATATGGGAGCATTAGAGGCAGCCTTTCCATGGCTGTTTTTCCTCGAAAGTAGGTTATGTATAATAAGATGTGTGAATGAATTGAGTACTCTCATTGTCTCACTGCAGTAGAGCACGTAGAGCTTCATTAGGAGGATCAAGTAATCAATACTGTATGTGCAGCTTTAACTAAGGCAGACTTTGTTGACAGTTCATGCACATGTCTTTTGATAAAAAATACAAAAAATAACATTTAAAGAACACAATTAACTTAAGATATTTTGAATTTGTAACGTATAGTTCTGGCAAAATGTATAGAATGTAATGGGGAAGAATATTTAGCTTTTGGTTAAATAAACCAGTGGTGACAACAAAGCATGTTTTTCCCTTTGAGAGTGTTGTAATGGCTGGTTCAGCTATAGTTTCTCATCCTTAAAGCTAATTATCCAGAGACCACCATCCACATAATGTCATGTCAGACGAGAGACCCACAAAGAGACATCTAGATATCTTATTCATGTTGCACTCTCTGACCCCTGTCTTAAAGCATCTCAAAACATCTGCTTCAATTACTGAAGATCACATCATTATCAATAAGAGTCATTACTGTTTAAATACACATTTATATAACAAAATAAATAATAAAATAAAGTGTGTTGCAGAACATAACAGATAAAATGCTTGATTTGAAAACCTGGGCGACTGACATCAAATAAAGGAGATCTGATCCAGGAGCTGTCAAGGGGTGAGAGGATCAAAGACCAGAGCATGTGCGACATAAAAGTGCAAACATATTTATGATGCTGCTGAGTGGAGGCGTCCTGAAAGCAACCCTTCATTACTGAATCACTAACAATACCACGGCCATACGGTCAGTAGGCATTGTCCTCTCCCCTGCCTTTTCTCTCTCCTTGGTTATATGCTACAATACCCATTCCTGGAAAAAAATGTCAACCTCTTCCATGTATTAGTCACTGTGTTAACGTGTCTATAAGGTCTGCAGCGTGTTTGCTTTAGGCAGCAGCAGCAGCATAGTTAACGCTTGAGACGTTCACTTGCATATTCTGAGGTGAATGAACAGCAAATGATCATTATTATTATTGTTAGCATTGCAATTAAATGTTCTCACTGATGATTAACAACATTGATTTTTGTACAGTTATCTTTTCAATCAACAGATTCATCGATTAGTCTATTAAATATCAGAAAAGTCAAAAATGAACATCACAATTTGTGGTGAGTGTTGATGTATTCAAAGTCTTTTATTTGTCAGACCAACAGTGCAGAAATTAATGTTCAGTTAATTATTATATAGCAAATACAAAAGTGGAACGACTAAACCTGAGAATGTTTGAGTTTTCATTTGACTTGATCAATTCTGAATGAAGTTGCCAATTTATTATATATCTATCAACCGGTCAATTAAACGTAAAATAGTTTCAGCCATAATAATTACTGTGATGCAAACATTTCAGAAAGTGAGTAACTGCTGGGTGCCAGTTTATGTTTTAAAAGATCACTTTGTGA